TTCTTCAGCAGCTATCTTTATGCTCTGCTCAGCTTCTGCCATATAACTGTCATGCAAGGAATTAACAGTTCTATTATAATTGTTACGGGTCATGAGCATCGTGCAAAAATGTAGAAGGCCATCATAACCAATGCCCAGGTTCTGTAGCGTCATGATTAGTCTAACAATGACTTCCATATTATTCTTTGCTTTTTTGCCTGGGACATTGGTATAACATGACAATGGAAACTGATGCTCCCAGAGGCACGTAGAGCACTTCAACCTGAAGGCAACTGTGACACCTTGCTTCCTTTCACAAATCTCCTCCAACTGAACTCCTTCCTGCTTGCATCCTGGGCAACAAAGAACTGAGAAAACGTTTCTCATTACAGCGATACAAAAAATTACAAATCCATCAAATGATACTTGCTCGACATCATCCTCAACATTTCTAATTTGTTTTGTAAGTTTCTCGATGAACTCTATATTTTATCTGTGTTGTTTCCTGAAAGCAGTGATTCGCCATACATTGGTATGTCCGGCCTAACTCCAGCATCGCTTTGTTGCTTTTTCTCATCAGAAAACTTAGCTAGTTTTTCAACTATACTGTGATGTTTTGTAGCCATTCGTTTCGTGAAGGTTGGCGTGCTCTATTTCTTGGATTCCCCATCGTTGTAAGTCTAAATTTGTAAAATGACAGTAACATTCGTTTTTGTTTCATCTTCAATTTTAAACAAACGCAATTAATATATACAATGCAAGTACTTCATGTTGTATGCTTTCAAATGTCTCCTCCACACCTACTAACAATTCAGTTCAATCCCAGGAAACAATACCCATCTCTAGGGGCTGAGTTTTGGGGCAAAGTTTTCAATTTTCGCGTTGCTAAGGAAATTTGACAAGACCTGTAATTTTGAAACCCCCCCAAAGAGGGGGCTTTAGGTGTTTTTTGTACAAGAGAGACAGACCACCTTAAAGGACATACCTCAAACCTTGATTTAAGACATTTTCAAGATTTTTAAAAAAATAATGATTTTTTGGCTAAATGTTGCGGGTGTAACCCCCGAGACAAGTGGACATCTGTGATCCAATCATTGGTCTGGAAACACCAATCCATGTGGCTTGTGATTTCCTCACAATCATTGCCAAAAGTACATGGAACACCCAGCAATATGCATTATATGTTTTATATTTTTGAATTCCCTTTCCGAATACTTCCGCTTTTGCAACTCCTTCCTCTGAAACAATGTTGACAATTTAAAAAAATTTCAAGCAACTCACAAGAAAAACTGCATTTCCTAACCCCCATATCACCATATCATCTTGTAGTAAACTAACATTGTTCAAAGGGGTAAGGGGAATGGCTGAATTTCCCCTTGAAAACTGATTCCAGTGTACCAAGACTTTTGGCAGGCATTGTAGCTGTAGCTTCAAGAGAGTGATACAAAGCTTTGGATACTATGGTTAACTCTGTCTTGTCATTTGCTCCCGTGCTATTTGCTATTCTATTAATTATTCTGTTATGTAGTAGTTAGTTTGTATAATATTATACATCAATGGTCAATGAAATTATATTTCTCTTATTAAACATGATGATTGTACAGTTCATTACTGCCTTTGACCTACTGTCTTTGACCAACATAGATGCAACCGCAAACATCAATGATGAACCAGCAGCTCAAGTACCAACTGAAGTTCACAATCCGTGCAGACTCCCAATATCCTGTCAGCTAATAAACCATGAAATAAAAGCTGAGGGTTATTGTAAAGGCAAGAGGCGAAGGGTATCTTACTCAAAGAACAAAATTAAAATAGAAAAAGGCACAAAAGCTGAGAAAAAGCTTACCTCATCGCATAAAATTGCAAAGGCTTTTGGACATTTTGAGGGTACTATTTCCCATGAATTGCTTATATTTATCAAGAAGCAAGTAAAGCTCTCTTCTACCAAAAAGAAGGTTAAGAGGTATGATGATACTTCTAAAGCATTGGCACTCATTTTTTACCATACACATGGGCTGGCTGTGGCTTTACAGAAAATTCACTTTTTGTCTTGAAGCAAAGAGTAGAACACATTCTCAATGAGTTTTGCGAAAAATTGCAGTTTCCGAAGAGCATTGTTTCTGAAGCCATAACCCATTCGGAAGCCATGGGCCTATCTGTCCTCTCTTTAGTGAGTGATCAAGGATAAAACTTTGAGCTTTTCTAAGTATATGCAAGTATCTAAAGACAAACCATTCTTTGAGCTAAATGGTAAGAAATATTTTGCCATGTATGATTCTCCGCATTTGCTTAAGTCTGTGAGAAAAAATTTACTTAAATGTGATTTCGAATTTGATGGCAAAATAGCAGAGTGGACACATATCGAGCTGCTTTTCAGGAAAGTTTAAAAACTTCCAGCTATGATGACTGTTAACAGAGAAGCATCCCAATCCAAATGGTTTCACAAAAACGAAGGTGAAACTTGCCACACAGGTATTCAGCTACACTGTCTCTGTCAGGTCTTCAAGCTGAGGCTATAGATACAGCACAGTTGCTTAAACGGTTTGATGCCATTTTTGACTGCTGCAACTTATTGAGTTTAAGAGATTCAAAAATGTGTTGAAGACCATTCACATCTGAGTCACCACATCTAGAAGAATGGTCAAGTGGCCTCACATTTATCAAATCCCTCAAGGTGGTTAGTAAATTATCTAATGATGATAAAACCAAAAACACTAAGTGCTTGAAGGGTTGGTGTATCACCATAAATGCAATTATATCACTCTGGAGGAAAATAATCCAAGAGGGGACAGCTTTCTTTTTGATTACCAGACAGCTTAATCAAGATCCTTTTGAGAATTGTTTTGGTTCAATGCAACAGCAGACTGGTAATGCTGATAACCCAACTCCAGTACAATTTGTCAGAGCATACAGGAAGCTTTTTCGTGTTTATCTCGTTACTGTAGCAGGTAATTGTGAAATTAATGATAACAAGCTAATTGCAAATCTGCAGCACCTTGGAGAGAATACAGGGATTTCAACTATTGCAAAAACAAAAAAACCAATTCAGATTTTGTCAACCGATTATCCAGATGAGCATATCCAGCAAAGGCTAATAAAAGATAATTCAATTGCATACCTAGCTGGATATTTACTACAAAAATATTCAAGTTCCATAAATGCATTAAATGCTCTGTTCTCTGCAGTGATGATATTGTGTATTGGAAAACTGCTTTCTTATCTTTTAAGGCTTATGACAGTAATTCAGGTTCATTTGGAGGTTTCACAGCACCATCAGAAACCATGCTGATCTATACAACTTATGGATGATGAAGCCGTTGTTCTTCTGGACTTTGCAGAGAACTATAAATTCGTTATCAAGGAAGAGATCCAGTCTTATCACTGGAACCAGCAGTCTTGCTCCTTACACCTGGTGGTTATTTACTTTCACAGCAACGGCATTCTTACAGAAAAATTATTGTTTTATATCAGATGATTTAAACCAAGACACTAGTTTCGTGTACCATGTGGTAAAAGAAACAATAAGTGTTATAAAACAAAGTATACCTGCCAGTATTAGCGAAATAATTTATTTTTCCAAAGGGTGTGCAGCCCAGTTTAAAAACTGCAAAAACTTTGTAAATTTTTGCAATTACTCAAAAGATTTTCACATAAAATGCAGTTGGTCCTTTTTTGCAACAAGTCACGGCAAGTCCCTTTGTGAGGGACAATAAAAAGATCAGCCCCTAGAGCAAGTCTTTAGCGACCCCTCTCTAATTAAATTTAAACGGCACAATAAAAGGAAGGAAATTGCAAGGAGCAAGTGACAAACATCTGGGCCGTTTTTCTTTCTGGGGAACAAATTGAAGCCACAAGAAGTTTTCTAAAGCTACGATTCGAAAGTGCAAACACGCTACCAAGAACTAGAGGCTTCCATCATTTTGAGCCACTGTCAGATGAGCTAATAGGAGCTAAGTGAATCTCTGTAGACAAGACGTATGCACCGCAATTTGATTTGATCCTGGGAAAAAACAAAACAAAAGCGAAACCAAATTTACAGCCAAAGCCAACCAATTTTGTTGTTTGTTTCTATGTTGAACAACTTTGGATTTGTCTTGTAGAGGAAGAAAACAAAGATAATAAAGATTTTAAAATCAAACTCATTCATCCACATTTGCCATCCAGGTCATACAGCTGGCCTGTGCAAGATGATACCTGCTTTGTCCCTTCAACGAATATTCCTGCCATCATAGAAACACCCTTCACAGCAACTTCACAGGGAAACATAAGACTAATTTATAAATGACAAAATATACTATATTAGCTATGACAAATAAGGAAGTAAGAAGTATATGCTCTGTGTTTCCCTCTCATTTGATCTGTGCAATTTTATATCACTTCTGATTATCCCTTTTTGTGCTTTTTTGACTCAACAACCTAGATAAATATGTAATATTCATTTCGGACTAGGTAAGTGAAGTTTTCAAATTGCTTTACTCCAACGAAGAAAATTTTGAACTTGAAGGAGTGATGGAAAAATATTGAAGAAAGTACCGCCACCATTGACAGCCCAATTTAAAGACAGGCCATCTAGAAAAGCTGATGTGCAAAGGTATAAGATCAAGCAAAATAATACAACAGCTCCCTTATTTCCTAGTGGTAATAAGGAAACAAGGGAATTAGCAACTAGAAGCTCCTTAATGAGGGAAGGCCCTCATTGTCTGATACATTGTTCCAGTAATCCTTATTTATGCTTGGGAAAAACTTAATTCATTTTTGCCAAGGTATTTCTTTTCCATACAACTATGTTACAAAATTTTTGGTTTTTTGAACCTTAACTTTCTTTTTATGTGGTTGTCAGCTAGCTTTTTGAGACATACATTTACGATTCAAATCTCGATAAAATTGAAAAAATTACAGTAAGAACTGCTTTGGATATAAAGTTTTTTCTGTCAGTCAACTTTTATTGTAGAATCTCACTTTTCTCTCATGTAGCACAAGAACAAGGTGAGTTACAAGCATCATCATTCATTGCCAAAGTAGTAGAATCTCACTTTTCTCTCATGTAGCACAAGAACAAGGTGAGTTACAAGCATCATCATTCATTGCCAAAGTAGTACAAAGGCAACAGAGTAGCACCAAGATGCGCGAAAAATGTGGGGAACCAATGAAAGGGCACTCCAAACAGAACTGTCATGAAAAATTGAATATCAGTACTAACAACACCTTATAATATCTCATAAAACATGCAACATACTTTCTAATATACATTTGGCATAATCCAAAGCCCCTCAAAATAACAAAATGGTTAGATATTATTAGAAGATCACACAATTATATACAAATTACATCAAATACAATGTTCAGACAATGAGAGTTATTTCCGGTTTTGTGTTGTTTTATATTCAGTACAATGAACTACTTGCATTAGTCACGGATTCCTCTGTATGCCACAAGAAGACTGGTAATGAATGTGCATGAGAGCAAGGCCATGAAGGTCTCTTCATAAAAGCACCTAAGCAAAAACAGTGAGAAGACAATGTAATATTCGAAAATAATAGCAGTGTTATCTCTTTGAAAAAGAATTTAAAATTATTGCCAAATTAGAGAAGGAGACTAAGCTGCTTCAAAATAAACTATTTTCTTTCGAAACAATCAAGAGCAAACCTAACAGTGGTCAATTTTACAGACGTTTTGAAAACTTGGATACTTTTATGTCCATATTCCGATACTTAAATCTTGGCAGAAAACATAGAATAATGGAAAGCTTCCAACACAGACATTTCATTTTACTATAATGACAGTTCTGAGCCTCAAAGCTATAGTAGAAAAAGAAGTTGAATATTTTGTGGTTATATGCAAGTTGCGCCAAGAATTCCACGAGGAAGATCTTGTACACTTGTTCCATATATCAACTTCTACAATTAGTAGAATTTGATAACATGGACCAACTTTGGAAATATATACCCATTTGACCGTCAAAACAATCAATATTAGATCACATGCTGGAGGACTTTATAGCCAAGTACAGCTCAACAAGGGTGATAACTGACTGTACAGAGATACGATGTCAGATACCCTGTAGTCTTCATCTCCACAGTGAGTTATTCAGCAACTACAAAAATCACAACTTTAAAAGAGTTGGTTGGAATTTCACTTGAACGACAGATTACTTTTATTAGTGAACTGTCCAGGGGAAGCATATCTGATAAAAAATTGTCATAGAAAGTGGTTTTCTTGACTTGCCCTTGCAAGATGGAGACTCTGTCGTTGCTGACAAGGATTTTGCAACTAGTGATGTTTTGTCATGTGGAATTATTTTGTAAGGAAAAGTATGTGTCTATGAATAGACCTTTTTGCGATTTGGATAACCATGCATTGCGGTCGTAGTGGCGGCCATGTTGGTAGACCTCCGCAACTACTGGTAGTCAAAACAATTTTATATTGATCAAGTGAACAACAAGTATAATATCTAAACTCAAGGAGTTCTTTTACGCTGAGATGGCAAAATTCGTCGAAACAATGAGCCTAGAAGCTAAGAAACATTATGCTGAAAAAAACAGTAGTTATTGGAGGGCAAGATCCTTATTCGATATTCACCCGCCGGCTTTCACCCGCTTATATACATCGATCTGGTGAACTACCTCATCCTTGGCCGGAACCCATGCTACTCAATGCAAGATTTCAAAAACTACAGAAGTCTAGGCTCATACGATCGTTTCCTTTCTGGTTGGGGCCGTAAAGTTGAGGTGTTTGATTGTGTTGACACTAAGCCTATTTCATACTATGTTGTACAAGCGAAAGTGAACCACAGCCAACGATTAAGCAAAGCACCAGTACAGCCCTGGTTTATTTCTACAGAGGATGGGGCTGTTGTTTCTGCCCATTGTACATGTTTGGCTGGGCTTGGAGAAACATGTTCTCACGTTTCCTCTACAATGTTTTATGTGAAAGCTGCTGTTCGAATGTGTGAAAAGCAAACCGTGACAGGAGAAGCTGCTCACTGGAAGTTATGGTCAGCTAAGTCTCAAGTTGAGTATGCCCCTATCAAAAAAATCAATTTCACATCTTGAAACAGTATGAAAAAAGACTTGAAAGAAAGATTGAAAATTTTAATGAACCATCTGGTCCAGATCAAGCCCCAAGAAGTCAGTTGAACGCTAGTTATAAAGCAAATAATGGAAATTTTTTGAAGTTTCTGGAAGAAATCTCCGAAGCAAAGCCTGCATGTTTGTATGTTCATCCACTCTTTGCTGATGGATATATTCCTGGAACGGTTGAAAAGCAATTCCCATCTCCTTTTACTGAGCTTTATGATCCCAATTCTGGAACATTGTTGTTTGAAGATCTATTGCAGAGCGAAAGTGAAAGTGAACCACTGTGCTGAAAAACACAAATACTAACAAATTGTTATGTGGATGTCTATACATAGAAACTTGAAAAACTTTAATAAACAATAAAACAACTCTGAAACAATTATATATTTTTATTCACTATATTTATATGCTATTTACAGTTTATTGAAGGAGACTTTCTAAAGTTTTTCTCTGCAAAAGCCACTTTATATCATAGTTTGTCCATTGTAAATTGTAAACCAGAAATGCGTGGAGGTTTCCACATTCGCTTTGTATCAATGATCCTAAAATCTGCCCCATTGGGTATTGTGGAAGAAGACTTTGCTTCAAATGCTTCCATTGGTTTAAATGCCTGGAGGGAGTTATTTTGTTTTGTTTAGATAATCACAAATTATGTTCACTTTTTAGATGAATTTTGCCTATGCAAAATATGTTCATTAAAGTTGGTCTAAGTTTTCCTATCTATGACAATTACAGTCTTTTAGTGGCCATTTCAAAAGATTGCCCCTCCCCCTAACCATGTGTTGAAATAATCAACTCAAAATAAACAAATATTTTTGCTAAAACAATAGTTAACATTCTTTAATCAAATGGTACATCCGATTGGCATAAATTAGTTAGTGCACAAGCTACAGTCACTATTTTGTCCAAGACAGAGTTCTCCTGGCCAGTCTTGTTGATCAAAAGATTAATTGGTATTGTACATTGTAGCATGGTGTATTTTTGTCGTAGCAATCCAATTACCCTTTCAACATGAATACGAACATTTGCTATATTTCTTGACTCTTGCACTTCTTCACCACTCAACTGTTTTTCCCCCTTGTAAATGCAGGTATATGCAATTTTGTACCTTTGATGCATAAAATGTCAAATCCTCTACCTGCTAAAACAACATCTTCTGGCAATAAATTGTTCAAAAAATTTGAGTTAATTGTTACATGTTTTATATTTATCGCTTGCTCTTCCTCCCCATCCATCTGATATGAATGAGATAGAACCTTGTGGAGTGATTCTGATTAAATACTTAACAGTATTTTTATGTTTATAATTTTACCATGTTTGAGCCCTTGCATATAAGTTTGATGGGCGCTCTATAAAAACTTCAAAACAGTCAATGATTGAAACAACTTTTAAACCAAAGTTGTCTCTAAACACCATTGGCATAGACTTCATAAGATTATCCTGTAAAGGCCATAGAATGGTTCCCTTCAGATTAACATATAGAAGGTCAATGATTTCTGTGAAGGCTTTCAATAAAACATAAGTTGACACATTATAGCAGTATGCCAAGTCCCTTATCGGCAGGTTGAGTCTTAGACGAGAAAGGGTTATAACAAATTTGTCAAATTTGGACAATACAGAATTCTGTCGTTGTGATATTCCAGGGGCAATCAAATTGAAAATTGGCAACATGATGTCCTGAGAAGGCAGACCTGTATAAAAAGTAACTTTAGTTTGATCCTCTAAATCGCTTTCATCTGAAAAAGTCTTGGCTGACAGTCTTCTTCTTTGTAAGTCACTTTCTTGTGATGATTTTGAAGCTCCCAAACTTTCATTTTCATTTATTACATCATCACTAGCAGAACAAGGATCAATTTTCTCACACCCCTCTATGGAAGAAATTTCATCTGCCTGAAGCACGTTGTCTAGTTCACATAAAGTGTTGTGTAGTTCCTTTGCATTTTCCCCTAGCGCCTCTTTGCACAATCGTGTACCAAGTCAGTCTCAGATGTGGCCCCGAACCTCTCCTAACCCCAGTTCCTCGTAGGAACCCAGGTGGGATTATTTTCATCAAACAATGAAGCTGGTTTTCCACTTATGAAATGGCTGCACACTCTCCAGCCATCAACCTTTTTCCAAGAAACATATGTATGTATGTATGTATGTATAATTTTGCCATCAAATAAATTACAATTTAAAATTAAGAAAAAGATCTATTTAAAATATCCCATATATTAGAGCCAGTCCAGACAGAATGATTTATTGTAGCTGTTGTGGAATTTCTTGTCTAGAAATAAAGTCAGTGTTTCTTTTATATTTGGACTGTACATGGATCTTTCACTGAGAAAGTCAGACTCGATAATACACTATGGACTTAGCTCAAAAACATTTTTATTGACTTGTACGAACATCATTATTTTGTTTACTTGTTTTCAGATAGAGTACAAAGCTATTAGGTTTTGTATTACTTAATGAAATTTTGCTATATTTCAGATAGTTATTGCATAACTTATCACTAAATCTAGAAATTTACTCATTGTCTTCAACATGGAGTGTTGTTATTGCCTTCAGCCTGTTAAAGGGGCATCATAAACAACTGTCTTAATGTAAGCAATGTTTTATATAAGAACACAAAGTCATGCATTTTTAAGTATTATATATAAATTAAAATTAATGACAAATGTATGAAAAGTACCACTAAATAAAATATCTGTAATAAAACCCTACTATAGGGCCATGGGGGGAAGGGGATCTGACATCTTTCACAATTATGTTTTCATTATTTATGGATGATGCAAAACAGCTCTATGATAAGGCTTCTAAATGTGAAAATTCATTGGAAATTTCTAGTGGATACTTTCTCTATTTGAGGTGATTGTTGAGTCTAGTTTTGAACAAAACTTTTATTTTAGGGTGGACTAGGACTTTACAATGTTTTTGAATGATTAAAGAAACTGTTATAAATTAGATGAATATTTCGGTGTTATACTAAATATGCCAACATATACCAAATACAACTAGACATCTTACTGTTTAATAAGAGGGCCCTGAACATTGCAAAGAGCTGCACATGTTCTTACAATATACTCTGCAAGAACAGGATACTGTCTCTGGCTTGATACTAAACAAAAAACAGATTGTAGGAACAAGATGCTGGCTTTCCATTGCTTTCTAAGCATCCAAGATATATTTTCCTGATTTTAAAAGTATGCAAGAAAGTAGCTCTGGTTTGGAAACTGAAATAACAGTACACAACCAATATCTATTGCCGAAGAGATAATAGAATGTCTAGGTGGAGAACTTGAAATTTTGATTTAATATTGTTTTGAACAGCTTTGTAAATGAATTTCATTTTGAACAGTTTAGTAAATTTCTGATTGCAAAACCTCCTCATTCTCTTCTAGCTGTTGATCAAAATCTAATATATATTTGCCAATGTTATTTTACGAGATTTCTTGCTGAACAGATCTACCACTCTATGAACAGGGACATCTATGTTTGTAAAGAGAGATGAAACACCATTAAGTCTTTCTTGGGACATTGTGCTGAGAAGATAAGATTTGAGAAGACGAATAGCTGATGCTGACCTATCATAACTGCAACTGGTGATGGGAAGAGTAGCCAATATTCCCAGCACTGCAGTGGTTTTTGGAAAGTTGATAGGATTCATCAATTTTAAGGTATCTGATAAGCCACGAGGGAATATGTCTTTTGAGAAGTTTAACCAAAAGGACTCCCAGTTGTCCAACTCATGGAAAATGTTATAAATGCTTGGCATGTCTTTTTCATACTGCTCACAAAAAGCCACAATATCTATTTTCCAGCTCTTATTTAGTCATTGTACTTTGACATCTGCCCGTCCTTTAGTAGTACTTGCCTGGTTCCCTTCTTGAAGTCTGGTAGTTTGCTGTTTGCATTCAAATGTTTTGCACAGGAGAAAATTCTTTTTGAATGGTTGTTTTCTAAAAAACATTTTCTTCTGGATATTCTGTCATCATGACTGAAGTGACAATTCATAGAGCTTTGTATGCATTGCAGTTTGTTTCTGAAAACCTTGTTGAGAGTTTCTGCAAAAGGTGATCCAAAAAGGTACAGAAAGATTCCGCTTGTGATAAGTTGAAACATCATCAGCTGGAATATTACCTCTGTATACTTGCCTTTCACATCGCCTTGGAAAACTAATAGTAGTTCTTACCTTGTTAGAAATGTCAACAGCTTCTTGAAACTAAGCATTGTGATATTCATCAATAGAGATTCTAACATTCTGCAGAAGAGTATTCATCGTAGATATTTCCTGTAGCCCTCTGATAATTTCAATATTTCCACCTTGTAGTTGGATTGTAGCAGATCTAATGAACCCTAAGCACATTCTGACAACAACCAAGGTAGGTATAAAATCAAAATTGGTTAAAAGAGATGATAATGCAAAAGCATTTGCAGCACTATCATCCCAATTCCCATCCAGGTTATCTCTGATCTCAAACATTTCCTCAGTAATAGCAGTGTACATTTCCATGAACCTCTCTAAAACATCAATTTAGAGGATCCACCTTGTTCTGCATAGGTCTAAAAGTTTTGTGTGTTTGCAACCAGGAATATACTTTGTAACCATTCTTTCAAAAGGTTGATGTCGCTTGGGAGAATTGTAAATAAAATTGAAAATCTTGGATACCCTGTCCATCATTTTTCTAACATTTTGAATTTTGCAGCTGGCAGCAACACAAAGATTAAACCTGTGAGATGAGCAATACGTATACAATGCTGAAGGATTGTGTGAAAGAATCCTAGAAGAAAGCCCTGAGAATTTTCCAGCCATATTTCCTGCTCCGTCGTAATGTTGTCTCCTGCAATTTTTCATCTCCAATTTTAGCTCCTGAGTAATACAATGAACCACCTTTTCCATTAATGCCTCCCCTGAGAGTCCTGTGTCACAATGTATAAATTTGATAAAACGCTCCTGTATTTCTCATTTTTGGTCAACAAAACGAATAATCAATAGCATTTGCTCTTTGTTCGAGCAATCTCTGACTTCATCTGCAAGAATCGAATAAAATTTTGCTTCCCATATTTCCCTCACTATTGATTCATTAATTACATCAGAACAACACAAGATACTCTCAATTTGAACTGTCTTTGAACGATGAGTTACATTCTTTGGGATTTTTTAAAACGTTCCTTGAGAAAAGTGTGGCCACTGTCAATTCAAAAGTTTAGCATTGCTTGAAATTCCCACAATCTGAGGTGTTGTAGTCATCTTGATGTCCTCGCAATGCAAAGTTGCGTCTGCCATGGAGAATGATTGTTTTGACAATAGATGCAAGTTTCTTTCGAATTTTTGCAAATTCATCCTGATAAAGCTTGTTCTGAATCTGGTTTATAGGCTTTTGTTTGCCACATTACAGCTAAAAAGGACTGCAATTTTAAAAGCCAATCTTAGCCTCTCGGTGTTTGATTTTGAATAGCTCTTGTAAATTGCACAGTACCAGCCTTTTCTGTCTATGAGTATTCCTTGCAATGCTAACATAGTCTTTCTTACCAGGCATTTCCCTTGTAAATTCCTCATCATGATAAAAACTCTCAAGAAGTGCTTTTGTTGATTTAGGATGCCAGGGGCCTATTTAGTCAGGCACAGCCAAAATTCCTTTTGATTTGCTAGTTTATGAGCACTCCTAACAGGAGGTTCGGATACATTAAATAACTGTGCTGTCCCTTGAATTTTCCAGTTCTGTGTTCCAAGGGTAAGAATCTGCATTTTGGAGCTCATTGTGCTTAAGGCGTTTACTTTTTCTACAAGAAGATCCATTTTGTAAAAACAAATAGCTTTTTCCTCAATTTTCTGGCCAAAGGTAAAGGTACTTTTTGTCTGAACGGTTTCTATTGGGACATCCAAGTCTCTAGCAACCTTTTCCGTCATTAATAAAAAGGCAGATTACCGTTTTCCTGTTTTGCTCTTGCTCTGGCTGTGAATGAGCTTCAACTGGTGATATTCCAAATCAGATAACTTCAATTTGCTCTCTTCAGTTGAAACACAGTGCTCAATTTAAAATATATCTTTATCTTCAGATGATTCTCCAGCCTCTTAGATAGGCACCATGTCAACATAAAATTTTATGTCTACAGGAAGGAAAAAGTTTTTTTCCTAGGGTGACAAGGATGTTTGCATCTTTTGCTCTTCTAGATAGATGCAGTGTTATTGTTGTTAACGAGCCTGCAAAAAAAATTAAACACCTTTTTTAAATGAAAATGGTTGCTGAATGCATTTGCAGTAATCAGAATGGAATGTGAACAAGACAACTGGTTCTGGTTGAACACAGCAGGCTTTATACTATAAAATACAACTAACCTCTTCTATTTGCATGCAAACGGATTGCAGCATGATCTCTGGTACCTCTCAAATTTGTCTAAGAAATACTTCTTGTAGTGCAGACACAAATTTTCAATCTTGTCACTGGTGACAGATCTGGAACAAGTAAGATTGATTCGAGAAGATCCTTAAAATTAATCATTGGAATTCTGGAAGTGCAAGACATCTTAGTGAATTCTTCACTAAAAGCCTTTCCAACACAACAACATTCCATTTTATTGTTAAAATTTCTAAATGATCTTAAAAGAATGGCTAGAATAAATCAACAAAATCTGTGGATGTTGCGTATAACAGAGGCTGTATTACCATCAGATAGGGGGTATAAAATTTCCTGAAACATGTCACATCAAAAGATCATTTTTGAAATTTCTTTCTCTTCGTAATATAAAAGATCATGTAAGTGTAAAAGTTAGTCTATGATATCAATTTCTTCATCCTCTGCAACGTCTTCTTCCAGGATCAGGAAGCCTGGACATGCTTCTTGTAGGTCAGTTTAATCAGAAACAACGTCAATAAACGGCTTGGCCTTTTTGCCTTCAAGTAATGATAGCAAGGCTTTCAACATTTCTTGCCCAGCACAACAAGGCGTATCAGGCTTGAAGCATGTAATCGCGTCATCCTGACTACCACCAGTAGCAATGGAAATGCCACATGCAAAGAAAAAACCTTTCAATAACTTCTGGAGAAAGTTGTTCCCAGTTTCCAAGATCCATCTCACGACTTCTCTTTGCAGTGGAGGTTTCAAATTTTCAAACTCAGTCTCCTGATTCATCCCTTCAGATGCCAACATTTATCATACTTAGATTTGTTAGAAGGTTTGTTACAGGACACGTCAGGTGCTTGGATGTACTTTATGCATCCACCACATATCACTTTGGAGCTTCAGCAATGCAAGCTATGGGAATGATGGGTACAAAGTAGATGGCGTGTGAATGCTTAACGGGTTTGGAGATTTGTGCTGCTTGCCAAATGAAGTAAAATCTGGGGAAACTCAACTTTCAACAAGCAGTGATCTATTCTGTATGGGATACACTATGATGTGGCACAACAGGGTAGCTGATGATGCCATTTCCAATGTCTCACAGTTTGTGGGTAGATTTTCACAAGAATGCGTTTACAATTCAGAGAATCAGAGGCCTAGCTTGAAGCGACTTCAAAGCGTCATTGACGAACTCACAGTGATTTTGGCGATGTGAATGAAGTTTGACAATCTATGGGTGTCACCTGGTAGTAAACTGAAGATAAAACCAATACTATTTTTAAAGCTTAGGGTATATGACTAGGCTTATTCCAGGGTCTTATTTTGAATCGTCTTTTTTCTCCAAACCGACAGCCTAATTCGAAATTACAGAGACTGATAACTGAGTTTTATCAGCTTTAGCGATTTTATTACAACATGCATTGATACGATCTCATAAACGGTTTTATATGTGGCTTTATATGTTTGAAAGTAACGCGCCATCAATCCAAAAGAAGAAGAGGAAACAAGTTGATATAAATATGTTTTATTCACCAAAAACATAAGACTTCAGATGCATAGAAAAATTATATAAAGCAGAAACTCAACGCACATGCTGGTAAAACTGATCATCCATCACACGCTTTTTTGATTAAAAAAATTAAACCTATTCTGAAAACTGAGAGCTGAATTTACAATAAGAGCTTTAACGCATTTCGAAACCATTTCTACAACTAAAAAACGTGCTAGGCTTTAGAACACAAAAACATCAAAGAATCTGTTTCAAATCTGCTTAATACTTCAAAAGGGGATACACATTTTCTATCTTAGGGAACAGTGTCGTAAGTTATCATGTCTGCTTTTTCCTCCATACATGAGAGAGCAAGAAACACAATAAACAATCTCCCCAGATGGCATAACACACCACTATATGACAGCACTTTTATAGACATCGTCTAGGACAAAGACAATTTTCTTTGATACAATTTAATTTAAAATCTATGTCGGTATGCATACGGATTAGGCGAAAAGGTTATTTGCCAATTACACTTTTTTTAAAAGAACATGTTCATAAGAACATGAGCCCCAGAATTAAATTAAAAACAGAATAAAAGTTTTTAAAAAAGTTTGTTTGCATATGCTTTTTTTTGCATTGCCTGTCAAAATCCATCGGAAAATCTAGTGATTATCTTATCAAATTTATGGCTGAAAGAATTGACTTGTTTTCACTTCATGTTGATGGCAAATGGGGCCTGAACACTTCCCTTGGGGACAATAGCTAGTGATTTCACTGCTTAAAACCTAACAATAAAGAAAAAATTAGAAACAATGCAGCCTAAAAGTTTTGACAAATTAAGAACAGCCAGCCTGAATTCAATGTGTTGGTTCTTATAAAAAAGGTATAGGCCTAAATTCTACCTATGCCAACTTGATTGCCCAGTCCTTTAACAGGCTATGCTTCGATACAATGGCAGTACATTTTCCCAAAGCTTCATACTTTTTGAACTGGAATCATATTCATAATTGCCACTGTAAGTTACTTCCACTGTTTTTTGTGTTTTCTTGCCAAATGTGCACTCCCAGAACTTGCCTCCCCACATGTCTTTCTTGCTATTTCCTGAAAAGGTTGGCCAATATATATACTTGCACGACTTTCTTTATATTTTTTCCAAAGACGATCTGCTTCATCTAGAGGCGAAGAGGTTTTGAAAATTATAAATATATCTCGGGTATAAAGCATGGAATTCTTTCAGTGCATTTTAAAAGACATATGCAGAGACAAACATGACCAACTGAATGGTCTCACATTCAACATCGCTGATCAGAAGGCACTGACTGATCTGCAAAAGAAATTATCGACTATACTCAATGAAACAAAGGAAATTATGGAAAAAAAAAATCACTTGATGGCTGAAATGAGCAAAAAATTTCTTGGCAAGCGATCTACAACATCACATCGACCAAAAAAAAGCAAGCTAAAAGAACGAAACAGCAGCAACATGTTCAACTTGCTATTGAAAAGAATCGTAGGAAAGAAACAAGAGTAGGTGCGAAGGCTGACCATGAAAGGATGCAGAGAAACTCGTTCATTGACTTAGAAACTGGAGCAATAAGTAATGATCTATATTTTGGTGTTTTTCTTTGTGAAAGAAATGTTTGTTAAATTTCACCTACTCTCTATTCATATAAGTCTGGTATATTAAGAGAAAGGCGGGACTAGGAATAGTGGGAGGTTAGATCAAATTTGTTGATTTTATTATGGAAAGGCTATACGTGTCTGGGAAACAAGAATAGTGTAAACTAGAAAAGCACAAACTTGTAAGATTTTATTAAGGGGAACTCGGAGATACTCACTTTCTGCTAGGGTGCCTAAAACTGATAATTTCCCTGACTGATATCACAAATGATTCAAAAGTCTTGGTTGATCGTCTTTTGTTCTGCAACGGGCCTAATTCTGAAGCCCATTTTGTAGCATCTTGAAAAGAATTCAATCGATAAAACATGTTACTATTCTTCACTTCATGTTTTTCAGCCCATTGCGATATTGTTTAGGGAACAAAAAATGCTGTAAATTGCTCAAAACAATATTTCATCTCTTTGTTGAAAGAAAATACCAAGATTTATGCGATAAACAGTTAGAAACAGCAATGCACTCGAAAGAGTCTTAATGACATCAAAAAAGTCTTCATTAAAAAACGTCCATAAAAGTGCCATATTCTGCAAAATTCAAGGCCAGTAATGATCATTTGTGATCTCAGACACCTCAATGTGATCTTCTGAATGTTTTTTTAAATCATCATGTGGCATATATAATAATCTGCCTCAAAAGTTTTTGATTAAGTTTAGCAAGTCCTACAAAGGTTTCAAAGCTTCTAGACTGGCCAATGAAAAATTTCATTTTTGATATTCTAAATACACATTTTTTTCAAAATTTAAACTTTAAATGTTGCCAGTGTTTGAAGTTATAATTGACTGGTTTTGAACTTTAAACTAATGTCAAATGGCTTCACAAAAGTGGTTTGAATTTTGAAGGTCATATTGTTCACAAATCCCTCGCCATTAGTTGTTTGTCGAAGTGGTGCCATACTTTTCAAACATAAGTGTACATTAATATTTTACGCAACTGTTTTCTGCTAGGCACACTCAAGCAAAAGAGACCAAATAAAGCTTTTCAAAAAGAAGATAGCAAAGATAAAAGACACAAGGTAAGGAATTAATTGTCAAATAAGAAAGGAATCAATCATCAAATGAGCAATTGTTTAAAATCAATTGTTTATAATAGCTGCAGTAAGGCCCATGATCTAATAAAGTAGGTTCAAAAACTGGTGGTATTTTGAAAATATTTACTCACTTCAATTTCCTTCTGATATTAACTAGCGGCAAATAACATCAATGTAATGAATATCATTACATCAATTGCAGCAACTAAGGATTGAAGAGCAAGTCATTTCTGACTGTGAAATTGAGGTTTGCTCAGATTCAGAAACAGAAGAGAAAGAAGCAGTGCATAAAGAAAAGATTAAAAAAGGAAACAATCTTGATACCTGATGATTGGTTGAATAATGTCAATGAATCTGATACCTGGCTGCAGATAGGTAACTGAAGCACGATGAGCAAAAAATTCTTCCTTCTTCTGATATGTGGCTAAATGATCTGGTCATAAATGCAGCTCAACATTTGTAGAAAGTCCAATCCCACATGTTGGAGGGTTACAGGATACTACTTTACAATAGACATTATCATTTGAAGTTGAAAATTGCGAGTTTGTACCGATATTGAATAAAGGAAACAACCACTGGATTATAATAGTCTTCAGAATTCAAGATTCGACTTTCAAACTCAAAATGTCATTAACTCTGTCATTAATTGGTATATATTTGCAAAGCATCACTAGAAAATTGCTTAATGAACAAATTTTAAGTCATTTTTAATTTCAGATATAATACAAATGAGTACCATGCTGAAAATTGGTGCAAATCCTAGACTATCTTTTCTTTATAGAAGGCAGAAAAGATGTTGGTGGTACTACTTGGGCGATTTAAGGGGACCTGGCATTATTGGCCTCATGTAAAATTAAGTGAAAAAATACCACAAAGGAATATGCTGTGTTATCATCCTTGTCTTAACCAGTAGGCTCTGTCTAGTGCCTTTTTGAACTCAGCATACCTGAAAACCTTCCTAAGAAATTTGAGATTTGTTGTACAATATTAACCTTAGATGCAACCTTATGGAAACGATGGGTACAGAAAATGAAACAGCAGAACTTTAGGCCCACTTATGCTTCGAGACTATGCAAAAACACTTGTCTGTTGACTGTTTCGTAGAAAATCCAGAGCTGATGAAAACAGCTGGCGTCTTTCTCAAACTATGATTAAACTCTGAGGCGGTTGCTACTATTTTTGACTTGTCTTCACCTAAAAAGAACTGTCAACAGAAAGGAAAAATAACCTTTGTCGCGAGGAAGAATCTTAGGACAAACTTGAGCCCAATGAAAAGCAGCCCAGAAAAAAAATTTCAACGCATTGGTTGGGCATTTTTGAAAGGAAAAAACAAAAAGGTAAGTTTCATAATACTATAAAACTACACTTAAATTTTCACATGTAAAATCCGATTTTCACAAACACTCTTCTAGATTAATTTAGCAATTATTCCAATCTATAATTCGCAGGGATAATGCAATACTTAAACTTTTAGAAAATATTCCATTTTGGGTAGGGTTTGTCAAATGTTCGTGCCCTAGAAGGGTATCTCATCCCCCCCCCCTCTCCTCAGGTTTCACGGTAGTTTATTAGTTCACCCACAATTACAGATGATCGCCAACTTGCTTAAAGAATCAGAAGATGAGGGGAGCACCGTAACCAAGGATGATGCAAAGATTGATGAACTGCATCAAGATTTAGGGTGTCAGAAAAAACCAATTCAGCGAGAAAATGATGTTGTCTCTATAGCCCCACAAACTGAGAAAGTAGCCTTTCAACATGCTTTCTGTCAGAGCAGCAAAAAGACATTTGGACATAAACAGACTCAGACACTATCATTGACTCGTTTCACACATTCTAAGAAGATGCAAGTCACATTGTCAAATGATTCTAAAGGTACTTACATCTTGATAAAAAAATTTATCCCACCTTTGAAGATTTAGTTGTAGAGACAGTTGCAGCGTTGACAGATAAATTAGAAACAGTTATAAAAGATAAATTTTCTACTTATAAATGAGATAAAGGTGAAAATAGCCTATCAAAACTATTTAGTAATAATTTAAAGCTTGAACAGAGCAAAAGTATCTACAGCTAAACAAATTTCTGTTGGCAGGGAAACCTGCACTCAAGGAGGACAAGGGGGTAAAATCCCAAGAAAAGGGGACAAAACAATAGGAAAATTATGAAAGGGGTCAGGGCACTAATGCTGTTGCCCGAGGTGCAGGCATCCTTGTCTGTTGTCTGGTGAAAAAAACCATTGAGCTCCAGTTAATTGTCATCATATTCTAATTTCGAGGCTTAAAGCTGTTTTAACTTCCGACCTCCTTTACTCTCTCAGGGGTACAAACACAAACTGAAACTAAACGCAAGTTGTCTCATGAAATGTTTTGCAGTGTGTATGTTCTGTCTTGAACCCCGGTCTGCAGAGTATGGCACTATTCGACAAGATCTCTGGTGGGCACTAGCAAAAAGCCTGGCGTGCCGGTGCGCACCACCAAAAATTTCTGGTGTGCTGGTGTGCATCGACTATTTTCCCCTGTTGTGGTTAAAATTTGTAAATTTGCATTTCACAGTAAATATGTGTGTGAAGTACACTGTTGAAGATAGCGCAAGTTTTTATTTGTATATTTATTAAGTATTACTTGACTTGTTTTTATCAGCTGACATTTTCTATTTCCACATCCAGCCACGCCTGTCTTAGTTCACACACCCAAAAATACCCAGCGTGCAACAAGTTTTGGACAAAAATATCTCCGCTGTGCACATGCCATACTCTGCAGATTGGCTTGAACCACACCACAGTTTCAAAAAAGTTGTTTCTGGTACATTGCTGAGGATATATGCAACCTGCATCAATGGGCATAAAAAGATCTAGAACAGTCAACATTTTCTGTGACATGCCAATGAGTGTTTTCTTGTTGCTTCTAGCACCAGCAAATTTCTTTTTTTCCCACAATTTGCAGATTCCATGTATTTCGGAAAGGAAAGGACATAACAAAACAAACAAACAAATTAAAAACCAAACAAACATAGTCAAACAAAACAAAACCAACGTCAGATACCTCAAGCAATAACAAAGGCATTTGTGGCAAAATTGAAAATTCCGGCTAAGCAAAGGAAACAGATTCAATGTTACTTTTCCGACAAGGATCACTTTTCAAATGAGTGTAAGGAAGTTTACTGCAAAGTTTTGTTTACTGCAAAGTGGTGATTCAACTGTCTGCGAGTGGGGCATTTCTCAAAAGATTGCCAGATTAAAAGGAAATGCTTCAGTTGCAACTGCAACCGCAATTCGGCAGTTTGTGCCAAAGACGCCAAGTCCAGTAGGACCAGTAGCCAAGTCAAAATTCATCTATCACAGCATTCACAGACTGAAGCTTTGCTTCAATAGCGACAATGTTTGTGTATGGAGAAAAGGAATACATTACAGTGTTAAATACACCCGCAGTCTGTTCTCCCATAACATCTAAGGTTGATGTACCTAGTCACCCCCATATGCAAGGTCTGGCCCTGGCTGATAATAGAGAGTTTCTGATTCACGACGCGAGAAGCGAAGACAGCTCACAGCGATCTAGAAACTAGCGCAGTCTAGGGGGATCCCACTTTGCTTGAGCCGTCTTGGTCCTGAGAACGACTCAAATTTTCAAGTTTTACGTTGCGAGCTTGAGGCAGAAATAAAAGGTGAGTTTTCTTCAACAATTTTGTAATACATTGTTATAAACTTAGATAATTCATTGACAGTTACCTGATGATCGCATTATGTGTGAAAATTGGAGTGTATTGATTATGTTTTTGCTCAGAACCTTTCTTTTCTAACACCACGTAGTGTTCAGCTCTGCCTGTCCTAAGGCACTGAGCATTATTTGTTTTTCAAGTTGAATTGTTGGTACATATCTAAATTTTCAGTGCCACAATAGACATATAGTAAGGTTGTTTTTACATCTTTATTCCAGGATACATTTCAATCGTTAAAAATGGCCGCCAATTGTGAAGATTCACACAAAAGAACACTCATGTTTGTTTTGATTCCATTATTAAACAAATGCACCGAAATCAAGTGGCATTTACCGTTGAGAGACAGCAAAATAATGGTCAAAAGCCTGCCAGATTTCCTGATGTTTTTGTTGAAGTTATCAGTACATACAAGGGGAAAGCCTGTGTATGATCAGTATCTGAATGGTCACCAACTTTGTATTCTTGAAGTACTCTTAAAGTAAAAAGTTAACTTGCTGGAATTACTTGCTTTTGTACTTGATGCATTTTT